GGCATTCAAGTACAGATTCGGGGCACCTGCTCTAGGGAAAGGCTTTCTCCCCGGGGGGTTTGAGTTCCTGAGAGATTTCCAGGTGTATTGGCTTTACCGGCCCCTTGACTCTAGGAGGTTCTCAGTGCAGGGACCGTGCCCACAGGATTCCTGGCTCTTCTTTCTTGCTGGTGGTCACCTCTGCCCACTAGTTCACCATCTTTGTATCTTGAGCCCCGTTTCTTGTGAGATACGAATCTATTTCTGCCTAGCCAACTCCACTACCCGTATGCCCCAACATAATAGAGTTGACAAAACAGGTTTAGCCAAACTGACAAATTTTTCGGGGGAACCAATTCAACCCAATTAGTAGCCCCTGATGTTCTCTCAGAAGGGACCTTCTGAGAGCAGTTCCTAGAAAGCATATGTACGTTCTGATTCTAGGTGGTCTTTTCCTTTGGGCTACTGTGTCAATGGTAAAACCTACACCCACTTCTTGAGCACAACCAGTCCTAGCCACGGGCCCAGCAGATTAGACTTTCCCAAACGGTTTCAGAGTCTGCTTTCAGTGTGTGGGCAGGGTTGGGATTCGAGTAATTGAACCAGTTCACTGCCCTAATGACTTTTGAGTATTAAAATATATATATTAAAAGAAGCTTATTTCATAATACTTAAATAAGAACAATAGGGAAACAATATTCCTTCCCATGAAACCATTGAGGTGCCCTGAAGTTTATAATTGTTTTATCAAATTTGTGCAAAATAAATCACAGCTATATTTCATAAGCTCCAATATAACCCAGGATGAGGAATACTTTTTAAAAAACTAGATACAGTTGTAAAAAAAAAGTTGGGACAGATGAACGTTAAAAAAAAAAAAGTATAGAATGTCAACACTGGGTGGCTCCCCAGCCGCCCACCTGAGCGAGAACCCTGATTCTAAGGGTCATTTTTAACAACTGGTTCGCCACCTGCAGCAAAAGATTAGGTATCCTTTTTGCCAAACCATCATGAACCGGCCACATGGTATGTGTAGGCCTCAGGTTGCTCTGAGCCTCCACCAGGCACATCTTGCCCCAGGAGTGGTGGTGGGGACACACCAGGTTGCTCTGAGCCTCCACCAGGCACATCTTGCCCCAGGAGTGGTGGTGGGGACACACCCTCGCTTCCGAGAGTTGCCTGCTGCAGCAGAGAGCACAATGACTTCCGCTTAGTTGGAGGGTACCACCCCTGCTCCTGCATCGGGACAGAGAAGAACTGCTGCCAGTCATTGTGTTCCTCTCCCTGAAAGCCTGAGTAAGGCCCTTTCTGCCCCTCCCAGGGCTGCTGCCTCACTCCCTGCACACTATGGACCGCGTGTAGAAAGTAGGAGTTTGCACACTGGCTTCCCCCTGTCTCACTCCCACCCCTGTCACGGGAAGAGGCAGGAGAAGGAAAGCCATTGTCTGGTGCATTGCTGGGAAACAGAGAGCCAGGAAATAGCCCTCTTCCTGTGTCACCTTGATACTCCACAGCCCAGTCAGGTTCCTTAGTGTATGAAACTCTAAGGTGGTCTGAACTGCCCTGATGACCGGGAACCCCCTGGGAGTTCGGAGCGGAGCAGCCCTCACTCCTCAGCAGAGTCTCCAGGAGCGGAGTGAGTCTCCTCTTCTTCTGCGGGACGGAGTTGGAGGCGTCAGGCTTGAGATCCTGAAGTGTGTGGCCTTGCACAGAGTCTCTTTCTTGTTTCGTAACCCAGTATAACCGGCGTCTCTCCTCTTCAGCTGGGAATGGAGATCGCCTGTTCTGGAACCAGCTACTAGCTCCAGTTAAGGAACTTTGGGTTGGGTCAGACAGTTCTCTTCTTGTAAAATCAGGGTAAGGGTCTTCTAAAAGCGGTTGCTTAAGTGGCTGCCAGGGTTCCACAGTAAAGGCAGGTGGTGGCCTGGCTGGTCTCTCTCCTGTCATTTGGACCTGGCCCCCGTCTTCAGTTGGCACGCCATTGAAAGCCATGTCAAGCTAGAGCCCAGTCTCTTCCCAAGTGATGAAGTGATGGCTCTGGAGCTGTAGCTTAGGCTGGTGTTCTCTGGAAGAGCAAAACCAATGATTTGATTATAACTATATATATATGTGTGTGTGTGTGTGTGTGTGTGTGTATAACATATATACACCCAAATCTTGTCAACATATCAAACTAAAACCAAGCCCATGCTGTCAAATGTTTTCCGACTCAGTGAACGTGCTTGGTAAAAATCAAAGGGCAGAGAAAAAGAGGAAGGCCCTTGGCAAGATGGATTGACAGTGGCAGCAGCCATGGCTCCAACTTGAGCACCGTTGGGAGGGTGGTGCAGGACCTGGCAGGGTTGGCTTCTGCTGTCCAGGAGGTCGCTCTGGGAAGGAATGGACGAACCCAATGACGCTACCTGATGAGAACAGCAGGGCTCCCGAGGCTGTAAATGTTTACCAAATCCAAGTGCCTGGTGAGTTCGAACCACAAACTTTGCACTTAGTAGTCCTTAACAACTCCATGTTTAACCCCCTGCACCACCAGGGCTTCTTAGAAACAGCTAGAGCTTTTTTTCTCCCTTCCCGGCCATCTTGGCGGCTGCTCTTGGTTGGGAGCCGGCCCGCACCTAAGACAGGAAGGTGGTGGCCGCAAAGAAGACGAAAGAGTCACTGGAGTCCATGCACTGGAGGCTCCAACTCGTTATGAAAAGTGGGAAATACGTGCTGGGCTACAAGCAGATGCTGAAGATGATCAGCAAGGCAAAGCGAAACTGGTCATACTGGCCAACAACTGCCCTGCCTTGAGGAAACCGGAAATCGAGTACTACGCCATGTTGGCCAAAACCAGTGTCCGTCACTACAGCGGCCACAACATCGAGGTGGGCACGGTGTGTGGCAAGTCCTGCAGGGTGTGCACGCTGGCCACCATCGACCCCGGGGATGCTGATATCATTAGAAGCAGGCCAGAACAGATTGGTGGAAATAAATCCTGCAATGTTTTTCTTTACTAAAACTGGCCAGAGCTTATTTAAAAAAAAAAAGAAAGAAAGAAAGAAAGAAAAGAAACAGCTAGAAAGAGATTTCTTGAGAAGAAATGACTCACCCAGTGGTGGAGGCCGACAGGTCCTAAATCTGTGAGTCGAGTCCAGATAGAAGCGTCACCTGACCCTGTGGCTTCAGGAGCTGATGAACCCCAAATCAGCAGACCAGGTGATGAGTCAAGCACGCTCCAGAAAGAGTTCGGCACCACTCCCGAGACCCTGATCTATATATACAGCCCACACCCTTGGGGGATTTCCCTCTACAACTGGATGGCCAATCACCTCTTGGAGAAAGACTGCTTGGTTCACTAATTGCCAGATGGCGGCCTCATGCAGCTGTCAAACAGCACCATGACTTCACTGACAGGCTGCTGAGAGCCAGGTTGATGCAAAACCAAACCCTCCCTAATTAGGGAATTAGGGCTGAAAGCCACAGTAGAATAAAGGTATCCCGTGCCACCTCCCCTGGGTCCCCACTTTTCAAAATTCACTTGAAGCCATTGAGCTTGCAATTTTAAGCATTCCTCTCTTGGGAAGAGTGCTTTTGAAAATGGATTGCTAGGGGTCATCTGAGGGATTTATCTGGAATTACCTGTGTGAAATTGGTTCCAGTGCAATGGATGGTTGAATGTGGCTCTTCAAGCCATAGCCTTGGTTAGTCCCACCAGACCACCTTCAGTTTCCCGATGGGTCTGGGTAAGCAGGTGATGGTGAACGTGCTGATTGGGTAAGATGATTCAGCCTTGAGTGGTTGTGAACAAAGTTCATTGTGATCGGCATCCTCCTGGGGTGAAATAGCCCTCTTGGAAGCTGGAGTAGCTCCGGTGGCACTCATTAGCTGCTTGCTAAGTGCTCGGTTAGCAGTTCGAAACCACCAGTTGCTCCTCGGGATAGAGACAAGACTTTATTCTTGTAAAGAGTTACAATCTCAGAAACCCACAGCGGCCTTTCTACTCTGCCCTATAGGGTTGCCATGTGTCGGGATCGACTCAATCACAGTGAATTTGGAGTTGATTTTACATCATGGTACCTGCTCTGCCTTCTGGGGTGACACAAAAACTGTATTCATTTCTGCTGAAATCTTCTAAGGCCTTCTCCCTAATTATAAATAAACCACACTTTTCAAGTTTTATCCTAGGGCAGCATTATTCGCTCCATTGAAAAGCAGATCTTTCTTCTAGTTGTCATCTCCACAAGCTGAAATTGAGATTGTGATTCCGGGTTTTTTATGGCTTGAGAATCACAGGTGGCACCTTGTATTTCGTAACTGAAAGATAAACGGAGCCCACATGCAGGTCTCGTTTTAATCTTAGGAATTGTGTCAAGCTAAGGGCTTACCTGGGGTTCCGAGGCTGTAAATCTTTACGGCAGCAGAAAGCCTCGTCTTTCTCCCACGGAACAACTGGTGGGTTCAAAAACCACTGGCCTTGCAATCAGCAACCCAGCACGTAACCCACTGTGCCACGGGGCTCCATAAGGGGTTAATGGTGCCTGATTATGCAGTCACCACAGAAACACCCACACACTAAACCAAACTCACTGCCATGAAGTGCATTCTGACTCATCCCCACCCGACAGGGGAGGGTAGAACTGCCCCTGGAGGTTTCTGACACTGTAACGCTCTTCCAGGAGTAGAAAGCCTCATCTTTCTCCCGATGAATAGTAGTCAGGCAATACAAATTTGATCAAGTATAATAATCTGCTGACAGATGACAAGATGACTCTAGCGGATGCAAAGAGTATTTAGCGCAGATCGACGATGGGTGTGCAAACCCAAAGGTAAAGAAATCATTTGTGACTTTAATTGCTTCAGTGAGACTTGCTATTTAGATTTGGCCCTGCATCATCCCAAAGCAATGTTTTCATGCAGTTCCCTCAGAACGCTGCATCTCCACTCTCTCCATCAAGAGAAAGAAGAAAGTGTGTTTTGTCAAAGGTGGAGATGAGAATGCTTCCTTTCAAACGAACTTAACATTTTGAATTTAGAAACTTTACAGGTGGGCTATATATGATCACACCCAACTAGGGACCCTGAATCTTAGAGCTGAGTAAAGTAAAGCTAAAAGATCTCCACGCTGCAAAGACACTTCAAAAATTACCTACGCCTTCTACCTCCTCTCCAACTTGAATCTTGTTGCTTGGTTTGTTTTCCGCTAGTAGCATCCCTCTGGCTGGGAGAGAATGCCAGCCAAGCCAGCTGATCCAAGATTGCCACCAGGGCTCCTACCAGATAACTAAAACATCCTTTAACTCCTTTGAAGCCATGGACCCCCAATGATTCCTACTTAGTCTTTATCTAAAGTGACTAGATACATGTATTATCTATTTTCCCCTGGGAACAGATGTCTCTAAAATGTACTGGGGACACATATAAACCTTAAGTTTATGAATGGATGCATTCATCACACTTAAATGTAGCCCTGATCTAAGAACAATTAGTTCTTATGACAGGGCCCGATTCGGTATTTGCCCTCATGAAGAGGTCACTGAAGATATGGGTGCACCAGCAAAGTGCAGTGAAGAGTACTTTAATTGTTTATTTGATAACTAGCTGAATCTGCAGTATAGCCAATTTTAATAAAATTTGAGTCTTCCCTAAATTATTGGCTCTCTAGGAACATTTACTGCAGTTACACTCTTTACTGCTTACACAATAATGCAAAAGAAACGCCAATTGTCATGAATCACAGGTGTTTTTAAATGAGCAGAAAATTCAGAACGTGTCGAATCTTCAGATTTCGAAATGACAATGCTTTGAAGAGTCCCCTGCTTCTCAGAGGAAGAACATAAAATCAGAGAAACTAAATCACTCAGGACCAAGTTCCTTAGAGCCAGCCACTTTTCTTACCGTCATACACACCGAAGTGGACAACTGCTTCAGTTCAAATCCAAAGACCCGGGTTTGCGTTGGAAAGCTCCTTGTTTCTTATAAGTCCAATAAATGGCAATTTCAGACTAACATAGATTTGCTACTTAGACTAGCAGGCATAGTTCTGCCTTTGTGAATGAGCATTATCGAAAGTTTTGCCCTAACTCTAACCATCATTGTAAGAAGTGTCCTGTCACTTAAGTTTTTAACCTATACAAGTCAATAATCCATGCATTTATTATAAAAAGCTGTCCTACACATCTATATTTCCCTTTTCTCAATAGTACTTTAAATTCTATACTATTGGTTAAATTGATGATACCATCAACAGAATTATCATATGTTCCCCAGGAAAATGCTAAGGATGTCTCTGAAATGGATTGGGGACATATACAAACCATAGGTCTATGAGTGGATTTGTTCATCACACTTAAATGTAGCCCTAATCTAAGAACAATTAGTTGTTATGACATGGCCCTATTCAATACTTGCCCTCGTGAAGAGATCATTGAAGATATGGGTGAGATAGCCAAGTGCAGTGAAGAAATCAGATGGCGTCCAGCTATCAGAAAGAATAGCGAGCGTCTGGGGTCTTAAAGGCTTGACTTAGAGCTAGTAGCTGACTAAGTGAAGTGTCGACTAAATCCACACAGAAGAAATACACTAGCCTGTCTGATCCAATGATTATAAAATAAAATCCAAGATTAGAGGAGGGAACTGTTCAAACTTAAATTCTGAGCACCTGGTTTGCAGAAGTCTATGGACTACAGTGAAAGTCCAAAATCCATTTGCAGGGTTCTGTCATGGATTAAGCCCTAAGAAAATCCCCTCTGACTATTGATCAGGGTTGATATCAGCTTTGCTAGTGGTGGATTACTGCAGATGTAGTTAGGTTCAAATTTAACACCTTATCATTTGTTCTTTTTTTGACCCATTTTAGATTTGTTCTAGTTTTTATTATTTCCTTGTTGTTGTTTTTTTCAACTGTGGTTTTTCTCAGCTCTATTTTGTCATTATTTTGAGGGTTTGGTGGTGGTAGTATGTTTTCTTTATATAAGATCCAATACAGGTAAATCTATAGAAACAAATCTATGGAATAATAGTTTCTTAAAGTGTGGCAAGGGAGGTTGGGGGAAATGGGAAGCTAATAATAATGAGTATAAGAATGAAGAAAATGCTCTAAAATTGGTTACATTGATGATTGCACAGTTCGTTTTAATATGTTCAAACCAGACTTCTGAGAAGATGGTGCCCAGGTAGAATCACCCGCTCTGTGCTCCTGTTGTTAGATCAGAAAATCGAGGGAATGTGGCTGTTCGCTGGAGAGCCAGAGTAGGTCAGAGACCTGTGAGCAGGCAGGAGATCGGGAGCAGAGCTCTTGTTTTCTCCTGGTTGTGGATATGGAGCTAACTCAGTCTCCGAGGCCATGCTCAGTCGATGGTAGCAAGCTGGTCAAACTGCCCGCCCTCGTCCCCTTCCAACCCCAAACATCAGAATGATAGCCCTGAGAGGAGAGGAAGAGAGGGGGTGGGAAAGGGGAGTAAGGGGGAGCTGACAGCATTGATGACTGTATAACCCCATTTGAGGGAGTAAGCAACAGAATTGTATGTGAATGAATATAGTGGATGGTGTAAGATATGGAAAAATAAATGAATAATATAAGGGTTCCTGGGGGTAGGGTGGGGGAGGGAGGGGATAAAGGGAGCTGATACCAAGGAGTCCAAGAAGAAGAAAGAACATGTTTTGAAACTGATTGTGGTTGCAATTGTAAAATACTGCTGGATGTGATTGAACTATGGAATGTTATAAAATCTGTAAGAGCTCCCAATAAAATTATTTTAAAAACCAAAAAGTTTAAACCGTTGAATTGTATATGTGAATTCTATGTCAACAAAACTACTAGAAAAAATTTTAAGACAAAAAAGATTGAATTGTATGATATGTGAATTCTATGTCAACAAAACTAATAAAAAATTTTAAGACAAAAACAGATAGATTTCCTATGAATGCATAAAAACAGATCAATTGAACCTAGTTATATGAATGAGGCAGGGGGTGGAGGGGTGGGCCAGGGAGTCGATGTGGAGAAAGAAAGACAATACCATGGCCTGGGTCAGACGCACCTTGGTCCTGCAAGTAACATCCTTGCTTTACAGCATCTTTTTTTTTTTTTTAA